ATCATCATCATCATCATCATCATCATTATCATCTGAAACAACAGTTCTGGGAGACAATATGGGACCATAAGTCACTGTTCCAACTGCACAAAGACTCCGTGATCTCCTTAGATGTCAACAGATCTGATCCTAACTCTATTGAGAACTAGTTATGTGACCTGGTAAATGATTAAAAATCTACATTACATGTGGGCTGAGGAGATAGTATCTAGTTAGGGTAGTTGTCTTGCATGCTTTAAATCCTGGTTCTATCCTTGGTACCACATATGGTCCCCCAGACACTGCTATGAGTGACCTGAGCACAGAGTCATGCTGCTGAGTATAACCCAAGAAAAACCTCTACCCTCCCCCACCCTCCATAAAAGTTTTTTCACATAAGACTGAGTTCACTTTTTACTGTTTCCTAAGACAAAATGACAGGTGATGGTGCATCAAGACTTTTTATCTGGTCTAAAGTATGCCCAGAACACCAGGTCAGTTAAAACAGTCTGGAGGGTGTTTAAGACAGTTCAAAAGGTGTTCAGTTTTTTCAGAGTTAGGCACCAAACATCCTTCTACACCTGTCCATACTTTGACATATTTCCTGGACTTTTTTGGTGGTTGACCTTGGTCAACTGTGGTCTCGACCTGACCTCTTTGGTTTCTTGTCCCAGCCCTGCTTCTTGTAACAATCTGCTTCCTCTCAAAGGGCAAGGAAGGTCTCAGCTGGTCTGGTTTCGGGTTTTTTTTTTTTTTTTGGTAGGGGAGGGAGGGGAGGCCACACCCAGTGGTGCTTAAGGCTGACTCTTAGCTCTGTGCTCAAGTCCCACTCCAGGTGGGTTAGGATATCATATGGGATGCTGGGGATCAAACCCAGGTTGGCCTCATGCAAGGCCAACTGTCCTATCACTCAACTCCAGCTGGTCTGCCTTAGTTTCTGGAGGGAAACCATGAAGAGATCATCTAGGAGATATATTCATGCCCAGTGAATGTATATCTAAAGAATGTACATGCCTTTTATATCTAAAGCAATGATGGATTAGAATTATGGAGCATTTTGGTGACTCGGGGGGAGCCGTATATTCCAAACCTGGATTGTCCTGGAACTGTCGGACATGGGATCAAAGCGATCTGTTTTCAAGCAGCAGCAAACTGTTTGTTTTTTATGCCACAACTGGTGGTGCTCAGGGTTTTTTCCTGACTCTACACTTTGGGATCACTCCAGGTGGGGGCTGGAGGTTTCATATAGGGTGCTAGGGATCAAATCTGGGCTGGCCGTGTGCAAGACAAGTGCCCTACCCTTTATTTTATCTCTCTGGTCCCTGCAAACAGTTTTTGAGGTAAGATGACAACCTCTAGGCCAGATCAATAGTATGAGGGGTAGGGCGCTGGCCTTGCATGTAGTTGACCGGGTTCAACATCCCGCAGTCCATATGGTCCACTGAGCATGCTAGGAGTGATTCCTGAGCATAGAGCCAGGAGTAACTCCTGAACACTGTGAGATGTCTTTTTTTTTTTTTTTTTTTTAAGATTTCAACCTCTTTAAGGATGGCTGAATACCAGAAAAGGATTGGAGAGACATCACAGTGGAGAGAGTGCTTGCCTCACACATGACCAACTGGGGCTTGATCTCTGTCATCATATATGTTCACCTGAGCTTCTCCAGGAGTGATCCCTGAATGCAGAGCCAGGCGTAAAACCCGAGAATTTCTAGGGATGGCCCCGAAACTAAAAATAATATAAATAGGTTGGAAGATGAACTTTATTGTCATCATTATTATTATTTATTATTATTTAGTTTTGTTGGCCACATCCAGTGGTGTTCAGGGCTTACTCCTGGATCTCTGTGCTGGACTCACTTTCTGGCGGGGCTCAGTGACATGCCCTCTCTACCATTTCTCTGGCCTCAACAGGGACAACTTAATATGACATGAGAGAGAGAGGTGGGTGCAGGGTTTCAAAGTGGGAGGGCCGGCCAGGCCAGATGCTGGGAACACAGAGTGGTAGGCAAGAAGCAGCGAGGAATCCCGGGGACACCAGGAACCCAGAGCACCAGGCCCTGGCACCTTCAGGCCTGCATGGATCAGGACCCAGGTTACACGACAGAGAGGGGATCAGAGGCTAAATGTTGAAGACATTGGGCTGAAGAGATGCTGTAATACTTACCCCATAATAGGAAGCAACAAAAATCTCAAAAACGGTAGATGGGGGACCAGAGCGATAGCACAGTGGGTAGGGTGTTTGCCTTGCACACGGCGGATCTGGCTGACCCAGGTTCAATTCCTCCGCCCCTCTCGGAGAGCCCAGCAAGCTACCAAGTGTATCTCGCCTGCACAGCAAAGCCTGGCAAGCTCCCCATGACATATTCGATATGCCAAACACAGTAACAACAAGTGTCACAATGGAGACGTTACTGGGCCCGCTTGAGCAAATTGATGAATAACATGAGGACAGGACAGGACAGGACAGGGGGACCGAAGAAATAGTACAGCAGATAGGGTGTTGGCCTTTCGTGTGGCTGACCTGGGTTCAATCCCCGGCATTCCCTACGGTCCCCTGAACACCCCATAGAGGGTAATTCCTGAGTGCAGAGCCAGAAGTAACTCCTGAGCATTACTGGGTATGACTCAAAGTACAAACAAACAAACAAAAAAAAAAGTGGACGGGTTCAGATGAAGGAGTCTAGTCTTCACGTTGTGGACAAAGCGGGGAGAGGTTATCTCAGAAGGAACTCATCACAAGAGCAAGTAAGTGGGGAAGTGTAGGCGGGGGGTGGCGGGGTGGGGGTGGGGGGGCAGGGAACTCTACAAACATGGGGGAGGGGTGAGGTTTGCTGGGTCTCCTGGGATCCATCCACAAGGAAGAAGCCAAAGGTCTCGGGACTGACTCTGAGGAGTAAAGAACAAGGAGAACCAAAAGCGAATATGAGTTTTGGTTTTTGTTTGTTTGTTTGTTTGTTTTGGAAATGACAATGTCTCAGACACACATGGGGTCAGGAAGGCTGAAGAAGGGACAGTGGGCTTAGACTGACCTTGAATTGACCCTGGGCATCCAAGGTGAGGGACAGGGCAGGTAGTAGAAGGAGCAGAATGAAAGGCCAGAGGGCAGCCCACAAACGTGGTACAGTGAACCTCAAAGTGGACCCCGTAGAGTCTGAGGAAAGGCGGTAGAGGAGCAGTAAGAGGACAAGGCCATGGGGGTACGGGAAGGGGAGGCCCAGGAGAGGCACTGGGAGGCACGCAGGCAGGGGACCTGGGGCACTGGTCCAAAAGGAAGGAGGAGGAGAGCGTGCTCGAAGCTCACGGGGATCAACTGCCCTCCCGACACTAGTATGCCAAGAGGGAGGCGGAGGCTGCGATCTTACACTGAAGAGTCCGTGTGGACAAAGGAGGAAGGAACAAAACCGGAGAGGGAGTGGACAGAAGAATGTGTCGAGTTGAGAGCAGACCACTTATTTCAAACAAACTCAGGGCCAGAGCAAGAGTACAGCAGGGAGGCTAGTCTTGCATGCAGCTGGCCTGGGTTGGATCCCCGACACCCCATAAAGTCCCCTGAGCCTGCCAAGAGTGATCCCTGAGCACAAGGCCAGGAATAAGCCCTCAGCACAGCTGGGTGTGGCCCTCAAACAAAAATAAAACAAATAAACAAGACAAATAGAACTGTGGTGTTTTATGTTTTGTTGTTGTCACTTTGACCATTTTTAAGGCCACACCCAGGGATGCTCAGGGGTTACTCTGGCTTTGCACTCAAGAGATATTCCTGGTGGTGCTTGGGGGAACCATATGGAATGCCAGGGATCCATAGAACCCAGCCGCGAGCAAGGCAAGTGCCCAACCCGCTGTACTATGGCTCCAGCCCTTAAGCTGTCACTGTCATTGTTCTCCTGTTGTTCATCGGTTTGCTCGAGCGGGCCCAGTAACGTCTCCATTGTGACACTTGTCACTGTGTTTGGCTTATCAAATACGTCACAGGTAGCTTGCAAGGCTTTGCCGTGCAGGTGAGATACTCTCGGTAGCTTGCCGGGCTCTCCGAGAGGGGCGGAGGAATGGCATTTTAAAGGAAAGTAAGAACTAGAAAAATAGCTAAGGCAGAAGGTCTGGTAACCCTAGGTTCCCCCTTCTCCCCCCTGCCCACCCCGCCCCCCTACACTACACCTCCACCAACCAAGTAGGTGAGACTCAGACGTTTGAGGACAAGAGAAAAGGGGTGTTGGGTCTTGAAAGATAGCAGAGGGTCAGGGATTTGCCCTGCACATGACCGCAGGCCTGGGGTTTCCCACCCCCCCTACACACCCACACAGAATGTGGACCCCCAGTACGGCCAGGAGTGAGCCCTGAGCACAGCTGGGTGTGCCCCCAGCCTCTCCCCAAAGGGAAAGGGGGAGCTGCAAATGAGGAGCAGAATTTGTTGGGGAAGGGGGCTTGGTGTGGACCTTCCATCCACAGACGATAGTCCTCATTTCAGAAGCTGAGAAACTTGCTTCTTGGAAGGGGTGGCACTTAAGAATGGCCTTCGAGGGGCTGGAACGACGTATGATGAGTAGGGCGTTTGCCTGGCACTCGGGCGGCCCGGGTTCGATCCTTGGCATCCCATATGGTCACCCCCCCACCCCCCACCCCAGCACCGTCAGGAGTACCGTTAGGGGTGGCCCCAAACAAACAAACAAACAAACAAACAGACAGACAAAAGAACAGCCTTTGAAGGCTGGGCAGAGAGGAGTCCCGGCAGCCCGAAGCCAAAGCCCAAGAGCCCGGGGCCCCTCCCGGCCTGTCTGCCCTTTTCTCTCCGGCCTCCCCCACTCGCTCGCCGCAGACTCGGGTTCCCAGCACTGACGTCAGCCCGCGGTGACCTCAGCGCGGCGGAGGCGGCCCGGACGGGGGCGGGGCGGCAAGCGTGCGCGCGGCAGGCCACGCCCCCATCCGCCCGCGCCGGCCAATGGGCGGCGCCGCCCGCTCGCCGGGCCGCTCGGGGTTCTATAAAAGGCGCGTCCGGGCTCCAGTCCGGGCAGACTCCGAGCGGCGGCCGGACGCGCGTGGGGAGCGGGCAGCGGGGCGGCCACATGAGTCAGAGCCGGCGGGCCGGGCAGCGCGCAGACATGGTCCCTGAGATCGCGGCCGCCGTGGGCTTCCTCTCTAGCTTGCTGCGGACCCGGGGCGGCGTGAGCGAGCAGAGGCTGAAGGTGTTCAACGGGGCTCTGCAGGAAGCACTCGCAGGTGAGCCCGGCCACGGGGGTCCCGGCGCGCGGGCGTTGGGGGGGGGGGGGGCGGGACGCGGCGGGCTGCCGGGGCGCGCCCCTCCGGGGACCCCCCGAGCGCTCCCCCACTCCACGGCGGGACCGAGGGACTCTTCCAAAGCTGCCTGCGAGTTAGGGTCCCGCTGCCTGCCTTCCGCGTTCTCCGTGGCCCCTGCCCCGTCTGCCACCCCGCGTGGCACCGGAAGGGCCGGCCGCGAGGCTCTGCGGGTTGTTTGTTGGGGTGGGAGGGGGGGTGCAAGGACGGCTTGGCGGAGATAAGCAGCCGCTGGGAGGGGCCCTTCCAGCCGGACTGTCCACCCCGCCCGAGCCCGAGCCGCTCTGAGCTTGGCCACAGAGATTCTGCCGACCCAGCAGGGCAGACGTTCGTCACAACACCCCGGGGCCTGGGACGTGGCTCCGTCCACACTTGCCTTGCGCCTTGTGTGGTTAGGCCCCGGGTTCGATCCCCCAGCACGGCAGACACCAGATCAATACACACCCCGCCCCAGATGACCCCCTTTGGGCTCCCTTTTCACGGGCGAATGGTCTCTGACTTAAGAAGGTGGCGAAGGGAGGGAGGGACACAAGTGGGGCAGACCTGGCAAAGTGGCCTTGGAACCCCAGGGAACCTGCCTGGACATGCCAGCCTCTGCACACCCTCCTCCGAGCAGAGACCTTGCCCGGAACAGAGCCCTGGCCACTAGGAAGTTCAGGGATCTGGGATCCACCCCACCGCGCCTGCAGTTCCTTCCAGAACCTGGGCGGACTGGGGTCTTTCCAGACCCTCCACTCTAGTCTGCCACAGTGACAGGAGGGGTTGAGAAGGTTCCGGAACGCAAAGGAAGCCCCCCTCGCTTCCTTCCTTCATGGTCTTCTCTCCTCCTTGACTGTCCCATCCCTTCCTCCCTCCCCACTCCCGCCCCCACCCCCACCCCCTGTGTCATCGCTGAGCTCACCAGGGCACGTCCCTGCTCTCCTGTTTCCACAGAACACTACAAGCACCACTGGTTCCCCGAGAAGCCGTCCAAGGGCTCTGGCTACCGCTGCATCCGCATCAACCACAAGATGGACCCCATCATCAGCAAGGTGGCCAGCCAGATCGGACTCAGCCAGCCCCAGCTGCACCAGCTGCTCCCCAGCGAGCTCACCCTGTGGGTGGACCCCTACGAGGTCTCCTACCGTATCGGGGAGGATGGTTCCATCTGCGTCCTGTACGAGGCGGCCCCGGTGGCTGCCTCCTACGGGCTCCTCACCTGCAAGAACCAAATGATGCTGGGCCGGAGCAGCCCCTCCAAGAACTACGTCATGGCCGTGTCCAGTTAGACCTCGGCGCCCGCCGCCCGCCAGCAGGCCTCTCTCTGCATACCTCAACCTGGGGAACTGTATTTTAAATGAAGAGCTATTTATATATATATATTATTTTTTTTAAGAAAAGGGGAGGAAAAACAGAAACCAAAAGATTTTTTTTTTAAAGAAAAAAAAAAAGAAAAGAATCCTTCAAGGGAGCTGCTCCAAGTGACTTCCCCAGGTGCCTTTGGAGAGTTGTATGTTTGAGTCTGGACGCTGGATCCGCCCATGGCGGGGGGCAGGGGTTAGGGGTTGCGCCTTGGATTGAGATTGGGAGAAGCTGGGCCTGTATCCCAGGGGGCGTTAAGGGGAAGCTGACAAAGAGAGCAACTGTGAAGGAGGGGTCAGGACGGTCCCTGGATGGAGAAGGGCCAGTTGCCCCCCACTCACTCCTGCTCACCTGCCCACCTCACTCAGGGCCCGGGCTGACACCCCAACTAGTTGTTGCCTCATCTTTTCTCCAGATCCTGGGCTGAGCCGGAGGCTGAGGGAGCCTCTCTCTTCCTTCTGTCTGTCCTAAAGCAGCTTTTCTGGAAACAGGACTTGTTTTGAAGTCCAGCTCAGGGTCCTGCGGTGGCATCTTCCCAGCCAGGAATCTTGGAGTGTTTGGGCTCCAGGGCGGATGGAGGAGTTGCAGGGGTCTGCGGTGGATGTGGGGGGTTTCTCTGCACAGCCCTTTGCTTTATGAGTGCGCATCTATGTGGAAAAGAACTGGAGGGTGATTCGCAATGGAATGTTGGGACCCAAAGAATATCGACCAGGGATGTTTTGGCCAAAACCTATTTTGGAGCCACACAAAAATCCTGATGGCATTGTCCCTTGGAGAGGTGGCTGAAAGCTCCGGGGAACTCCACATTCCTTCAGTACTGCCTTCTCTCTCAAAGCACAACACTCCCCCCGATGCTCCTCCGTGCTTCTTTCTAAGGGGGGGTGTCACGTAGCGCCCCGGACCCAGGACCAGAATTCTCTACCACTGTGCAATATGGTATGCAGGTCCCTGGAGGCTCTGAATGGCCCCCCGGGGCCCTGCTAGGCTGGGGCGTCATCTCCCCCCCAACCCCCTCTGAACTATGGCTGACTGGTCAGCCTTCAAGGGATCCCTTGGCTCTGAGGGAGAACGCCCAAGTTCTGCAGGACTACTTGGTAACTCCTGTAGCCAAACCTTGGGCATTGCTCTCTCTCTCTGGTGCTCAGAGCATCTGCGGGCAAGGTTACTTGTCCCTTTTAGTACAATCCAAATTTGTCTATTTGACTTGTGCAATATTTGCTGTTCTGTGTTGGAAGGAGAAAAAAAAAAAAGCCAAACTCCACTTGATTTCTCAGTGGCATGGGTGAGGGGTCCTGAGAAGGCCTTCCTTGAGTTTCCCGAACTTGAGTCGCCTTAAAGGGCATGGCTAGAACATCTGGACAGCCGGGCTGCCTGCTGGGGTAGAGCCTTCCCTAGCACCCCACCCCTTCCCCGGGGTTCTCTCCTACTCTTCACTACTCAGTTCCGACACAAAGGTGCTATCTACCAAACTCTCCCTACCCCTTCATTCCTGCCGTTCCGCCTCCTCAACTCTCCAGATTCCGAGCTGCCTTTCCTGCATTGCTTTAACTTGAACTTTGGGCCCACAGACCAAGCGCTCCTGTTGCAGCCTGTGGGTTGAAACCAAGCTGTGAACGGCTGCAGTTGGTGTTGTCATGTCTGCAGACAAGCTCCCTGCCTTTCCTCAGCCGCCGCTGCCGCGTGGTCTCTTGCTTCATCTTTTGTCTCCTCTCCTTTTTGATGTTCACTTTAAAAACAAAACACCCAGAGCTGGACTGTTGAGCAGGCCTGTCTCTCCTATGAAGTAAAAATAATAAAATAGTATGTTTGTAAGCTATTCTGCCTGAAAAGACAAAGGTTACTAATTGTACGATAGTGTTTTTATAAGGAAGAATGTACAGCTTTATGGACAAATGTATACTTTTTTTTGGTACTTTAATAAAAATGTAGCAGATAAAGTTGTGTGGTGTAGAGAAGGCCCCATCCCCCATCCCTCAACTTGGTTTCTGCCCAGGTCCGGTTCTTTTTCTGTGTCTCAGCGGCCTTCAGTGGCTCACAGAAGACCCATCCGTGTGACAAAAAATTACAGAGGCTAGAGTGACAGTACAGCAGGTAGTGCGTTTGCCTTGCGCGCAGCCCACCCGGGTTCGATTCCCAGCATCCCATATGGTCCCTTGAGCATCGCCATGAGTAATTCCTGAGTGCAGAGCCAGGAGTAACCCCTGAGCATCGCTGGGTGTGACCCAAAAAGCAAAAAGAAAATTCCAGTTGTGTTCCAGGTCATGTCCAAACCTCCCCTCTTCCTGGGAAGAGCCTGAATCATGGCCACGGTTCCCGAAAGTGCCCGGTGACAGGAGCTCGGTTGGTCAGAGCAGCCCCGGGTCCAGCTAGGCCTCATTCACACCTGTGGCTTGTACCTGCGGCTTCATCCCACCTCATTCACGGCATTCATTCAGCGAGCATGTGCGTCATCGGGGAAAGGCCTGGGAATAGGAGAATGGGTCCAGGTGTGCACATGGCCTGGCTCTCCTGTTGGGTTGATGAACAGGGCACACGGCCTCTTCCTGGGTGGGGCAGATGGTTTGAAATTCCACCTACGGGTTCTCGCCACCTCTGGGGTTGCCGTTTGCTCCCCACCATTCTCAGCCCAAAGCTGAATTTGGGACAGAGGCCAGTGCTGACAGCTAGTGAAAGCTCAGCGGCCTTGCGCTACAGAGACTGAGGGCCAAAGGTTTGTTGCTAGTTGCTAGCTCCCTTTGGCCCTGGGGGTTGGAAATACAGGCTCTTTGTTCCTAGTTCCTAGAAGCTTCCACCAAGGTACAAGTCTATTTTGACCTGGCCATAAGTGTTGTTTTTTTTCTTCTTGGCAATAAGTTCCGAATTTCAAGTTAAAACATGACTCGTTGCAGTCCCCTTCTTTCCTGCAACCTTGCCTCCAACCCACCTCCCAAGCACACTTCGTGTCACACACCTTGGTGACCATCGTTTGCCAACAGCTGTGAACCGAGGGGTGCTTGGTGGGTGGGGCTTAGCATGGAGGCAGGGGGAAGGAGCCAAGGAGAGGAGAAGCTAGTTAGTTCATTGAATCCTATAGAATTGGTTACGGGGCCCCTCTTGTATCAAAGAAGGGTTCCGTTCTCATTTGTCACTGCTAACACTGCATCAGGGTTCATTGCAAGGACCCACCGGGGGATGTGGGAACCGGGTAAGAGCCAAAGTTCGACCCATTCTGGTAATGCTACTTTTATTCCAGACAGTCAGCAAGGGGCCCCACTTTCAAAGTTCTGCTTTGTTGGGTAGAAAACCTGGAATGTGGGGGAACGTGTCTAGAAGCTTAGGGGACCCTACCCACCTCCAAGTCTTGAAAACAGGAGAAAACCTAGGTGGCCAGTCATTCACCTCGGGGTGCTTTTGACTCCCAGTGGGCTCCATATATGTTTTGGATGCAGGGATTTAGATTCTGACTTTAAATGGGACCATCGGACTCATTTCACTAAGGGTGGAGAATCCCCCATGGGGATGGGTGTAGCTGCAGGTCCAGACTGCAGGAACAGCTTGAGGCATTGGACTGTGGTGCTTTCCTGTGTACGAGCACTAGACGCTGATTGGTCCCTGCTGTTTCCTTGCTTGGTAAACAGAGCCAGCCTGGGAGACCTGCTCTCAGCCAGCTGTTTCTGCGTGATAATGCACCTCCCTGGGGAGCCGGACCGGGCCCTGGGAGCTGGAGATTACTAGCCCATCCCGGCTCCTGATAAGGCAGTTTGGGTGGGGGCATCCTTGAAGGTGCCACAATCCCAGGAGGAAGAAGCCTTGAGAGCCTGCCAGCTACTTGCAGTGGCTTTTGGGAGAGACAAACTGTCAGGGGTGCCTGGACGGGAACCCCAGGCCCAGCTCCTTCGCTGGGCGAAGGAGGGAGAATGTCTGGGTGGTGGTCTGGGTCAGTGCCGACAAGCTGTGTGAGTTGGGACAAGCCCATCAATTTCCCTGTGTCAGAAATTAGGGGGGTTGGGTTGAATGACCTCTGCTTCTTTGTTCAGCGTTGGGTTCTAAATCATCTCCATTATCTGGCAATCACTGGAGGGCAAATTAGCACAATTATTATCATTATTCGCAATTAGTTGAGCTGAAAGGTCATTTGAGCTGGGAAGTTAAGTACTAGTCTTCCCTCCTTTGAGTCCGAGTCATGCCCAGGAAGGTTCTTGTGACCAAGCCTAAGAGGCTGCAGTGCCGGGCACAGAGCGGGCCTCGGTGGCACAGTGCAGTGGAGGGACAGGAGCACCAGCTGGGTCACCTATTTTCTGACTGTCCCCACCCAGGTGACTTGCTTATGCCAAGAGGCCTCTATTTCCCCCTGTGTGAATTGGGAATAAGAACAGACTCTCGGGGCTAGAGAGGTAGTAGAGTTGGTGGGGCGCTTGCCCTGCATGCAGCCGACCAGGGTACCTAGTACCCCACATGACCCCCCTGAGCCCCATCAGGGGTGATCCCTGAGTGCGAAGCAGGAGTAAGCACTGAGCACTGCCGCAGTCTGACCCAACCTCCCTGCCACCAAAAGGTGAGGGAAGAGTTAAACATTTTAAAAAACTTGATTCGGGGGCCAGAGCTATAGCACAGCGGGTAAGACGTTTGCCTTACACACAGCCAACCTGGGTTCAATCCCCGGCGTCCCAGATGGTCCCCTGAGCACTGCCAAAAGTAATTCCTGAGCATAGAGCCAGGAGTAACCCCTGAGCAATGCTGGGTGTGATCCCTCCCCCCCAAAAAAAGAGAATAGAGACCGTCTTGGGGCCAGAGCAACAGTGCAGCAGGTAGGGTGTTTGCCTTGTACACTGCCTGCTCAGTTTCAATTCCTGGCACTTTGTAGGTCCCCCAGGCACTGCTAGGAGTGATCCCTGAGCACAGAACCAGGAGTAAACCCTGAGCACCACCATGAGTGAACCCAAAACAATAGAGCCTGTCAGTGGGCCAAGGTGATAATACTGCAGACAGGGCGCTTGCACGCAGAGGACCCAGGTTTGATCCCTGTATTTGTTGTTGTTGTTTGTTTGCTTCTTTGGGGAGAGATACTCAA